AATATACTGTTTCATATCTACAAAATTTCTAACTAAAATTATAAATTGGTCGTTTTGGTAAATAAATCCAAGTACCGACCTAGTTCTCAATGATATCAGTTAAGAGTTAAAATCGAGTAACGCTAGTATCTACCGAACGTGATGAACCTACCAGAATGACTAAAACACTCAGTTCGTAATTTTTCACAGACTCGCAGCGATATCTTTCTGAAGATTTGAACGTTGAGTTTTCATAAAATGTAATACGAATGAAAGCTTGTACTTTCCTAAAATCGATGAATTCTGAGTGTCACATTTTCACAATATTTGCATCGCGATTTTTCGAATTCTCTTATTCCACGTTCCTCCATTTCGCCAGTAATCCGGAAATTTTCCGAAAAATATGGGAGTGGTGTCAATCAACAACGCGTCGTGTAAAAATGCAACCAAGCAACCACACCTCCGTCAAAAGAATATTAAATCTCCAGCTCTCGTTCGTGATGCCTGAAGGATCCCAACTTCGATCGAGTTTGGACTATCGGTCGACCGGTAGGAAAAATCGCGAGAGTTAGTAGGAAACGACGATAGGGACGCCTAATCCCTGGAATCGTGACATTAGGCGAAACCCTCGTCGTTTTGGGCACAGACGCCCGAGACTTCTGACCATTCACCACCGAAGACACCAGGCCACGGCTAGCTGAGAGAAGTGGAACGCGTGTACGAGACGGGGGGGATATAGCACAGGAGTGTGCAAGAACAGCGAGAGAGGATCGAGAAGGGAGGATGAAAGGAGGAGAGGGTGGAAAGAGGGGGAGAGAGCGAAAAAGGGACCGAGGAAATGGAGCCTGGTGAACGAGCGAGCATACGTGTTAACATTTGCTTTATAGCGATCGCTCTACGTTTGGCCCAATGGTTTAATACCTGCATCGACGATGTGTGCACGGTCGACACGCGAGAGAAATGTCCTCGGGTACGGAGAACGTGGCGCGGTGTCTAGTTGCAGGAACCTCACGAACGCCCCGTGGTACTCGCGTTCGCTGGTATTCTTACATAGGCGATTACGGAAAAATTATTTGCAATTGTGTTTGCTGTTGTGGCTCGCTCGAAGATTCGCATTCAAACACCTGTGATACCCGTTGTAAAACGTTTGGAAATTGACGTCTCTTTCGTTTACCTGCTTCCCAGAAATTCACTTTGAAACTTTATTCTGGGATTGAAGCTGCTCCGTTTTTTCTTCCCGAGAAATTATTATACGATTGTACGTGTGAAAATGTGCATAGAAGTTATGGGATATTCCGATTTTGAATTCACTTTTATTCCCTTGTCACGAGTGAATAATTTCTTTCTTGAAGATTAAATATTGATTACATTTGCGTGACGGAATAAAAAGATTGATCGAATGTGTACCTGATAAGTTTTATTTCTGAGTGCCTCGTTTTATAATGGATCGCGGCTTTCGAAATACTTCTACGATTATGGTTGTAGTCTTTCAAATTTGACCAACGTATCAATCATGATCTTATTTTTAAAAAATTTTAGAACGTTTTGTATGACACACGCATAATGCTTCGAAATATCTTGTAATTTCTATATACATTTTTAGAATGCGTCTGGTCAGTGCAACAGTATGTGATATAACAGTGAAATATAAAATATTCTACGCGCGTCAAATGATCATAAAAAGTTGCTCCAAGTGTTCATGTATATCCCTAAAAGAAATTTACATTGAGAGCAGGTGACAGAATTTCACAAAAAAATGGCAAGTGTCGCGAAACAACAATGTCTCGAGCACCCGACAAACGCAACGACGATCCGTCCACGTCGTTGCAGCGAGTCCTTGGAGGTCGCGCGACCTCCGCAGCGTAAATTGGCATTAGCGGGATTGGATTCGATCGCATTTTTAATAGGACCCACGGGGCGTTAATCCGCGCTAGTAATTTCGCTAGTGTAACGAAGCATTAGCGAGCGCAAGTTTCTAGTTACGTAGGTTAGTACCTGGCGAACGCCGGTAGGACGCATACTTGCGCCGGCCATAATGCAAGCCCATTAAATGCTAGAATGACCCGTGGGCTTACAGGCCACTATGAGATGTTAATACGAACCGGGAGGGGTGGCAGAGAGCTAGCCGAGTTCCTTTCTCGCTCCGCCGTTTACCCCCTGTTTTCTCCCATCCTCCTCCGCCAC